GCAGCATTACCAAACGATATGTAAGAAAATGCTTCAGGTGAGCCAAGGGCAATATGTTGTCATACAGTGTGCTTGTTTCTTTTTACTCATCTGTCTTTGAACAGAGACACAACAGGTTTTACTGAGTGAAACAGAAGAGTCTTTTTGTAGCACTGATATATGAATAGAGACAAATGGACAAAACCTTGCTGCCAGTGTCAGGCTCCAGGACTGGCACCCATTTATGTGAAACAGTGAAACCCAGCCTTGGTTTTGCTGGGTGCTGTCACAAGGGCTCTACTGAGCCCCACAGAAGCAGTGAAAATCCCAGCCTATAGCAAATATCAGCAGTGAACACATATGGCCTTTTGTCTGAGATGACATTTTGCTATAGAAAACAGTTATATTCATTTATGGGTTTGAATTCCTTACTTTTTCATCTCTGTCTCTTAGGACAATGGATTTACATGGCATATTTCACAACGTGTGCTATATGCAGAGATCACTGAATATAAAATCAAATCAGGGCAGTACTAGAATGGCACCAGACAAAAAAAGCAGGTTTATTTCAGAAAATTAATGATGCTTTGTGTAATCAGATCTGCAAGGGAGGTTTGGCAAGCAGGATGCTTACAGATAAACCTCTGCTGGGTCTGGACTCAGCCTTGAGGACATTAAATCTGAAGCTGTGGGGGATTGCTGAAGATCTGCAGGAGAGCAATAGGCCACAAAATCCTTATTTATTTAAATCAGAGCCAGAACTAAGGGAGGCACAGACCCCAGTGCTAAGCAAAGCACTGGTGTGTTTTTGATGCAAAGGGGTCAGTGCTGCTGTCTGCATGCATGTTGCTTTGCACACAAGTGGGAAGCCACCCAGATGCTTAGTCACATTTTAATACCATCCCACCTTCCTCAGGGTGGAATCTTCCTCCTACCCCTCTCAAACCCAATAGGTTCTGTCAGCTTAATTACACTAATAAAGGAAAACATGAATCTCAAATTCAAAAAGATCAATCTTAGTCTCACTCTTATCCTAAAGGCACCGCACTCCAAGTGAATTCTAGCCTCATAAACCAGAAAAAAAACCAGATGGGTAATCCTGTAGGAACATATCTCTTGCTTCCCAAGACTAGGAGCTGTCACCATCACAGACCAGTCTTTGCCAGCTCCTGCAGACATTCCCAGCTCAGCACTGGCCATGTGTTTTATTCCTAGGATGCAAAGAGGAACAACACATTCCCAATGAATGCTGTGCTCCCCTGTGGTCCTGGCAGGATAACGCACAACCCAACACTTCCCACTTCTCCCAAACTGGAAAGTGGGAAGAGTGTCCTCAGAGCTGACCCTGCTGGAGCAGAGGCTAGACAAGATGCCTGATGCCTCCTGCGTCCCCTCCCACCTCAGCTATCCACCAGTCCAGTAAAATAAGATGTGCTCTGAAATGCTACAGTGGCACTAAGGAACACCAAACACACGTTTGGTGATGAGGCTCAGTAGGTCAGCTTGATGGCTGAACTTGATCTTGAAGGTCTTTTTCAACCTAGGTAACACTACAAAACAATACAGAAGAGATTTCTGAGAGTAAGAGAAACCTAGGTTCTACATACATAAGCATTGCATGGAAAGCAAACTGACGAACTGAGCTGTTAGCTTAAAAGTTAGGCATATCAATTCAGTAGCACTGAGGGGATGAAAGCTGGAGAGCTAGAAGGTCTAGCAGGGTGTTCCAGCAGGGTGCCATGGCAGTAGGACAGGTTGTGTGCTTTAAGGAGAAAACATCAGGATTCCATGGAAAGAAGCAGTGTAAAGTGTGTACCAGCACTACAACATATCATAGCATCTCTCTCTTTTCCTATTTGGAAAGCTTGTATCAAGGGTGTTAATTTTTATTTATGATTCTGCTAGGCACAAAAGTCTGAGAAACACTTTCCTCACCTCAACAAATACAGGTATTTCGGGCTCTGCCCTTCAAATTTCAGAAATTCCTGCAACATGGACTTGAATACAAGTCAAAAATAACACTGCTTCTCCAGCAGGAAGGTTTTAAGAATCAGCTGTCACCCCACCCGACCTCAGTTTAGTCAGGAAGGATCTGCTGAAGCAGCTGGATGGCAACAAGCTGGGTGTGAAAAGCTGGACTCCAGCATGGGACGGAGGAAAGAAGATAGGTTGGAAGATTTAGTGTGAAGCTGGATCTGCGTGAAGTGGAGAATTCCAAGTGTGAATGTGTCTATGTGTTCGTGCATGTGCTGAGGAAAGCCGGGCTGGCAAGGGAGACAGAGGAGAGCTTTGTGCACAGTGCTCGCTCTGACATAGCCCAGCCTGCTCCCTATCTCCCAGTTCCACTTCTGAGTGTGCGGGAACATGCGGTGGCTCCTTTTTCCCACTATCTTCATCATCCCCTGCACCCAGCAGGTAAGTTCATTAAATAGGAGAAAAAGATTTCTCCCTTCCTCGCCCTATCTGGGTTTAAAGTTTTTATTTGCTTAACAACAAAATAAATTTCAGAGAAGCAAATTACTCCTAAGGAATAAGGAGACATTCCCTACTCCTGAAAAAATTTTGTGTGCAGCTTCTTTACGGCATCTGTCCTGATCTTGGTATTTTTTCCTCTCTATCTTGTACATTAATATGACTCTTTGAGATAAAGAAGTGTTAGGGAAGCTGACATTGCCAGTGACCTTGAGTTTTTTTCTCCCTCTCTTTTCTTTTTTCACAGTGTAAGCACAAATGGTTATTTGATACAGTGTAGGGAAGTAAACATCTTGTCCATGCTCACGTTCCATATACATCTATGTATACACAGGGATTTGTTTTCAGATAGTTCTGCATCATAGAAAGGCATCTAGGCTGGGTTATGCTGTGTCTGTTATGAGAAAATATTAAATGATAACTATTGCTGAAGAGATCTGTGTGGAGGGCCAATTTCATTATTTACTTCATTCTGAAAATACACGTTACCTGTACTCAGTGTATTTCTCCTCTGTGATCAAGATGACTTCCAAACGGAAAATTTCCAAGAGACTGTCAGCCTCTGCTAACTTTCGGAATACTGAAAGCTAGCTTGATATAACTGAACATTAGTAATAATACGTTGCCTACTTTTGCTATTTGTTTATGTCATACACACCTTGTTCAATCCTTAAAACACACAAAAACAAACAACAGCATATGAAGGGCTGCTATACAATGGTCTCATTTTTTGATCTGTGCATAGGATCAGTAAAAGTACGCAGTGGGCTTTTGTGATATGGATAGCTTTGTAGAGAAGCTTTGGTATACAAGAATTAGAAAATATATGGCCTGTAAATTTGATAAGCAGAATTTCCATCATCACATAACATTTTTGAAGATTGTTCAGGCAGACTGAGCTATTCTCTAATTCCAAAGTTAAAATGTTCAGGTACTTGCCCAGTGCTGTTTTCTCATGGGGTAGCTTTGAAGTCTTACACCTCTCAGCTGACATCTGTTCCTAAAAAGGGAAAGAGAAAACACTTGCTTAGATAGAATTCTGTAGGTGTTAAGCACGTTTTAATTTGTAGTACAAATTAAACTTAGTGGATGAAGCACACAGATCATTTCCTGCTACACCATGTACCCATTTTGAAATGAGATGCCTGATTTAAACCGCATACGCTCATATTGTTGGCACAGGGCCAAACTCATAATACTAATACTTTGCTTAAAAAGAAGAAAAACCCATTGAGCAGCAAGAAAGTGAATTTCCTAAAGCAACCAGACCTTCCTGAATACTGTGAAATGTATGGGAACATCTTTTTTCCATGTAGTGTTTCTAGAACAAGCCCTTAATAGCCTTTAACACTCCTATGCATGTTCATCAAATTATTGCTATGGTTTAGAGAAAAGCTTTGGTGTTTGAAAAATAGTAAACTGAAGTTACGTGTTTCTGTATTATTGCTGCACTTAGAGAAAAAGGGTTAGAAGAAATTTTTTATCAGCAAATGATTAATGATTAGCAAAATACTACATTTATGAAACTATATTCTGCCTGCTCTGTGGAATGCAAGATGAGAGATCGTTATTCATTTAATGCATGAACTGCATTTCTGAATTAATATGTATCTTAAAAATCAGACAGCCAAAGGGACTTGAAAGCTACTACTTTGGAGTTTCATTAGTAAATGTGGATTAAGATATCATAATTCCAAATGACCATAAAAAATGGAAACTAATGGTAGAAAGAAGAGCCTTTTAAAAGGTCATTTAATGCTCCATGCAATTAGGCCAGCTCAATTGTGCTGCAAAAGCTTTCATGTGATATGTCACATGAAATGTTGAATTCTGCAGAGGTTGAGATCAGACCTGAAAGCCCAACCAGCACTGCAGCCCCTCCCTTCTGCTAGGGGTGCCCCACAGCTAGAGGGGTGGAGAGAAACGGATAGCTGGGACTGCACATGCCCCCCAAAATACAAAATATCCTCCTTTTCTTTACCATAGAATTGCTTAGATTGGAAGGGACCTTAAAGGTCATCTGGTTTCAACCCCCTGCTGTGGAGAGGGTTGGACGGTGATACTGGCAGGCGATGATGGCATAGGTCTCAATTTCCCTCCTGCTTTTGGGCAGCATGAGCTGCTAGGCCAGAGCAGCTCCCAGGTTTACACTCCACTTACATGCCAGCACTGGCTATGCCCCCATTCCCTACATGTCCTTCCTTGCTGAACAGCAGTGCCACGGCCTGCATTTCTGCTGAAACTCAGCATGAAAATACCTGCTGCTAAGATCTAAACTGGCATGTTTAGATATAATCCTCCACAGAAATGTACAGAATACCTATCTCAAATACATCCTTTCATACTGTGCAGACTTAATCTTCCCCAGTGCCTCAAAAAGATAAATAAATGAGTCAAGAACTACTTAGGACATTTTTAGATGCAAACTCTGAGACAGAATGTGGAAACTTTAAATTCTGACTAGATTTTGACTTCCTGCTGCTGAGGTAAATCTCTTTTAGAGTTCCATTTTGGCAGTGTAAGCCCTAGGCTTAAGGAACACTTATTAATCCAAGTAGTTATTCACTTAGAAAGTTACCTGTTAAGCTCAGTGCAATTACCAGCCTCCCTTAATTAGTTATAGGATGCAGTTGTTGCAGCTAGCTCAAAAGAACTTGAAAGTAATGTAATACTCCTTTCAAAACACCTGAAGTATTAGTTTGAGCCAAAGTAACCCTCTCAATGTTCTCTATTTCCAAAAGCTTTTGCCATCAGAACTGTCACAAAAGGTTGGCTGCCGAGCAGCATAGGTAGTTAATTTGATATAAGGCTTGTAGGAAGGACTAATTAAAATAGATCTACATTTGGTTTTAAAACACTTTTTCCTTACTTTATCTGCTATGGACTTTGTCCTAACAAAGGAATGACCAACGAATGGTGTTCCAAACCTGCAGTAGGCCACGCTCACTGTTGAATCTGGCTCCTCCTACCAAACTCTTGTATCTTCTCACTTTTCTGGATCCTGTGACCTTAGGAGCTTTATTTTATGCTGTACCAGCTATGCAGAGAACATGCAGCTCTCAAAGCATCCCACTGTATGTAAGTTTCTCTGCAGGGCACAAGCCCACCGCCCACAGCCGAGGCCTGGTGAAAAACGTCCAGAGAGCAGCGAGGCTCAGCCACGCACCGAGCTGTGCCGCTGGCCCTGCCAGTGCCCACCAGTGCCCATCTGCAGCCCCGGGGTGAGCCTGCTGAAGGACGGCTGTGGCTGCTGCAAGGCCTGTGCCAAGCAGGCTGGAGAAGTCTGCAATGAGGTGGACATCTGTGATCCCCACAAGGGTCTCTACTGCGACTACTCGCAGGATGAGCCTAGGTATGAAACAGGCGTGTGTGCATGTAAGTCGTTCTTTCACGTTCTATTCTGCAAACCCAGGAGGGTGGGAACCCAGCTTGCTGGAGCTGTGCAGCTCTGTGCTGTGTGATTTATACAAATGCACACTGGTTGGAGAATCTGAGAGTGGGGCAGGGACTGTCTTTATATTTTTTGCCTACCAGCTCATTGTGTACAAGCCTGCTATTTGCAGATATGTTATAAGGCTGAAGTTATCATTGAGGTCAAACAAAATTGTGCTTGGGCTGGGAAGAACTTGAAGCTAAGAACGCAGGAAAGGATGATTGCATCAAGCACTTAGTGAGCAAGAACCCAATGCTCCCACTGTCTCAGTAACTGTTGTTTACCATTTGCAGATCTGGTTGCTGTAGGGTGTGAGCTCAATGGCATTTACTATCTCAATGGGCAGACTTTCCAGCCTAACCCACTTTATAAGTGCCTGTGTATCAGTGGTGCGATTGGATGTACTCCTGTATTCACACCAAAATTAGCAGCAAGTCCCTGCTCCAGTGGCATGAGTATGAAGAAGACTGGACAAAGGGTGTGTAGCCCCGGACAGAACAAGCAGCTTCAATCAGCCAACTACAGGCAGATGTCAGGTGTGCCCTGCTATGCTGGTAACAACTCTGCACAAGTCTTGCCCCATTCAGTGTCCTTACTGCAGCAGCCAGGATGACTGCATGCTGGCTACTCCTGTTTTCCATCATGGCCATTGCCAGGGCATCTGGTCTGTCCCAGTTACTCCTTTTACTCTCAAGTGACAGATTCTTTTCTCTAAACTCAATGCATATGAGAAGCAAAAAGCCTTTTCTGTTAATAGGGAATACCCACAGCTACCTTTAGCCTATCTTTCTGCAGAGTTTCGCTGCTTGTTAGATCTGCCCAATTAGGGCTGCTGATGGACAGCCATTTAGCAGCCCAGGAACTTTCTTGTTTTCTCTCCCTTTGTGGTGGTAGAGAATCTTGGTTTTCACACACAAGTTAAAACATTGCAGGCTCCATTTTCAAATGGAAAGCAGAAAATTATAGACTGCCTTAGCAGCTCACAAAACTTAAGTCACTGTGATGACAACCTTCCCTTCAGTTTCTTCTCTATGCAGTGTGATCAAAACCACACAACAGTTTATCCGCGCAGTTCTGCCATAGTCAGCTGATACTCCATTCAACCTTGTTCTTGTTCTGCTGCAGTACTCTCATTTACTTTAAGGAAGGACCACTGACAGAAGCAGCTTTACTGGCTCTTCCCTTTCTCTAGATCCTCCTCTGTCAGGCCTTCTGTTCTCTCCTTCCCTTTGCATGTGATATTTACATTACAGAATACATCCTCATTTCAACTAATGTGGGTACCAGAAAGCTGAGCTGCTTATTTCGTGGCAACTTAAATTATGGAGAAATTATGGCCTGAATCATCAACATGGATCAATATAATAAAAAGGGATCCCAAAGCTTATCAAAAAACATTCCCCAAATACTGCAGTAGCACATGAGCCAATCTGCAGATAAACAGACTGAAGATACAATCTGAAGTTCAGTTTGGACAATTTCTAAAATGTTAACAATGGTTATACAAGTTTGCAAAAATGAAAAAGGATTTTTGTTTCAAAATTATTATACCTAGTGTCAAAGACCTTTTACAGAAATCTATTTGATGCAGTCAGTAAAACCACACTCAGCAAGGCAACCAACTTCAAATGAAGTGCATTTCTAGAGAGCGTTACTAATCCGATCAGAGAGGGACATCCATTGACAACAATGGTAATCAAAACATCTGACCCACATTAGGTAGGTGCATGGGGAGCCAATGCCCAGTGATGCTCTGAGCCAATGAGAGTATTTGGAAATAGTAGATAAAGTTAAAATGAGGAATGGCAAATGTGCAAAAAAAAACCCCAAAATAAATGTTTTGAAGAATAAACTTCTTTCTCACCCTATCTTCCTCTGAAGAAATCTCCTTGAAATTTTGCTTCAAAATGAGGTCTTCCCCCTTCCCTTTTCCAGTACAGCAAAACAAATTACCATGTAAACTTGTGCATCAACTGCATGAATGGCTCAATAGGCCAATATCTACATGGAATTTTTTTTTTTTTTTTTTCCTGCTAGCATGGATAACAAGTGCTAGGCTTCTCTTCATTGCTCTTGATGTTTTCCGGATTTCCTAGTCCAACTTTGACCTCATTTAGATATTTAGCGATGTACAGAGGTTATACTTTAAAAATGTATGAAGAATAAGCAAACATTGAACTTCCCTTTATTTACTGCAGATTTGGCACAGGCTTTTAATCTGCTTTTTGCACAGAGATCTTAAAATTGGTGTCTACTTTCCGGGTAGATTTGTAATTCTGCCTGTCATCTTACATGCAGATGTCATCTAAATGCAGATTCCACAGACACCAAGAATTTCTACACAATTTTTTTTTTTCTTAAACAAAACCCAGTCTTCACAGTATCTAGCAGGAATTGGTACTAATGGTTACATCACTCCCCCATTTGAACTGTGCTTAGCCTTAAATAATCAATGTTTCTTCCACTCTGGCCGTTTTATAAAAATTCCACAGGTAACTCTTCACACACTATTTTCTTCATATTAAACAGAAGGGCCATACAGCACATGCAGTTTTATAGTCTTTGCTAGGATACGAGTGTCAATAAATTTTAAAGGCAGCTCAGCACTAAGACTTCTAAATAACTTTTTAAGGCCTCATCTTTAGATTTACTTGCATGAGCAGAAGCCTAATGCTTATCCTTTTTATATTCAGTTAATCCTTTTGGGGTTATTCTGCTGCATAAGTAATATATTGCTGCTTTAGCTTACAGAAACTTACCACTAGTTTTAAAGAAAAAGTGCCTGGTGCAGGCAACCCCTTGGACACCGTGTTCCAGGACCTGTGGCATTGGTATATCCAGCAGAGTGACCAACGAAAACAAGAAGTGTGAAATGAAAAAAGAGAAGAGATTATGCTTCATTCAGCCTTGTCTGACCAATATCCTGAAGACAATAAAGGTACCTTCTCATATATGAGGGCTGCTCCAAAAGTAACACCTCCAATTTGATCATATTGGCCCACAACATCAGAGAAAGATGTTGGTGATATGGAAGTAGAAGTTGAACCTTCCTGTCAATATTCCATTACATTTTGTTGCTGTATGACAGATGGCAGCAGAGGGGCAGCCTGACACAAAGGCATCTGATACATAAGTGCATATGAAGCAAAGGTGTGTGTCACTGAATTCCTCCATGTGGAGAAGTGGCACCCGCTGACATTCATCAATGCTTGCTGAACATTTATGGAAACCAAAAAGGGGAAGTGAGAGCAGTGAGGCATCAGCAGAGTGGGTGGTATGTTTCATCATTGGCAACAGTGGGCCACCTCCACAGGCTGTGGGCTTTTATGAGCGTGGCATGCAGGCTCTTCTTCATTACTGGTGAAAATGCATGGCTAATGGTGGTGACTATGCTGGAAAACACGTGTTATGTAGCTGAGAATTTGCTCTGTCACAGTGTTATTGTACTCTTTGTATCTTTTGCAGTTTCCAAGGAAATAAATAGGAGGCATTACTGTCAGAGCAGCCTACGTAAAATGACTAGGTTGCAAAAAATAAAAACATCAGAAGTATAAAAATGGATGTATTAGTAAATACTTTTAAGTCATAAAATAACACTTCTCCTTTTTCTACCTTTTGTCTTCAACTCTTAACAGTAAGCTACAGATGTATAATTTCAAGTGCTGTCATGCTGCCTGGCCAACCAAAATATTTTTGTTTACTGAAAGAAAAATAAGACAGCTCATAGTAGGCGTAATTTTCAACATATTTCTATGTAAGCATCACAAGTTTTTTTTTCATGTTCTGTTTTCCATGTGTAAAAACATAAGCTTTTTTTTTGTTGTTTTACAGATTCCAAAAGGAAAAACATGCCAACCAACATTCCAGCTTCCTAGAGCAGAGAAACTATTTTTCTCTGGATGTTCAACTACACAAAGCTACAAGTTAACTTTCTGTGGGGTATGTATGGACAAGAGGTGCTGTGTACCCAATAAGTCCAAAATGATCACTCTCCAGTTTGAGTGTCCCAATGAAGGTTTCTTTAAGTGGAAGATGATGTGGATAACATCTTGTGTATGCCAGAGGATTTGCAGTGATCCAGGAGATATATTTTCTGAACTCAAAATTTTGTGAATTAACACCACTGACTGTAACATGCTGCAAGGATGACAGCACATTCACATCCTGAAGAATCAGCATTACCTGTCACCCCAGCAATGTTTGTGAATAAATATAAATGTGAATATTCATTTAAAAAAACATCTCGAAAATGCAAGTAAGAAGGTATCCTTTTAAACTTAACTGTTTTGGTATGTGGAAATACATTCACAAGAATTGTGTATGTAACACTAATGTCAAAAGGAGAACTTTTGGTAATTCAAGAAAGCACAGTGAGACTGCTTGGTAACCTACCATAGCACCTTGTCCAACAACACAAATACATCTAGATTCACAGATGCTGACTAATCTATACAAAAGCAAACAAATGAACAAAAAAAACCAAAAACAAAACAAAACCGACCCTATAACATCATCTATTATTCTTGATTCTCAAATTAACACCTTCTACCACGTATCTTCAAAGGCAAAACACATGAATGCTGTTGTAAACACAATAAATTAATTGTAAGACCCAAATGCTCTTTACAGCAGATAATCTCTCTACTGCTATGAATATAAACCATGTCCTCGGTAAAGGAAGACATAAGAAGGCATCTACAGATAAGAGAACTGCAAAATTTGAAGGAAATGCAGATTTGGAATGCTTAAAAACACCACAAAAATGTTATCACAAGGTTTTATTGACTATTTCTGGACTCATACACTGAAAACTGTGCTTACTTATACACCCATTCAAACTCAGCTAGAAGAATTTCAAGGTTTAAATCATTGCATTGGCCCACTCTGATTTGGAACAGTTCACCAGTCCTTGTGTTCTAAGGAAGTCAAGGTTAGAAAGTAAACAGGAAATAGCTGTACATTCTTCAAAAGTTCTTAATATAATGTAATATGAAAATCTACCCACCTTGGTAATTATAAATATTAAAACATCTATTTTATTTGCATTCTTTAAAAATATAAACTTTGTTCACCTAACAGTCTTTACTGTGTGTCTTTCACTCAGACGTATGCTGTATCATCTCATTATCAAGTGCAATTCACCATTTATAAACAGGAATCATTAAAATAACATGTCAATTAACGCCCCAAATATAAAATGTCAAAGAAAATGCATTCTAGTAAATCCCTTGAAACCATCAACGTTAGTATCAGCTCAGAATACTCTAATACAGCTAGGTACAAAAATGAAGTGAACAAATTTTAAATTATGAACGTAGCTTAGAGCATTCCAAAATGACTGCTTGTCTGTAAAGTTTCAGAAGCAGGTTCCATTTGAGGACTGCTTTCATCTTTGAAGAGTATGCAGTTTTTCTTCTCTTCTTTGTTGCTTTTATTTAAAACAACTAAAGAAAAAAGCTAGCAATAACGATCCTTCTTTGAACCAAGGCTTGCTTTCAGTTCACTGCAAGCTCAAAGTCTGGGAAAAGCACTACCTTTTGGCTGCTACTACTTCTCTTTCTTCTCTTTGCAGCATATGGTATGTCAATTTATTCTACAGTTTGGAAGAACGTTACTGATATTTGCCATAATTAAGTGCCTTCAAATCTTCCCTACAGGCTCGGCCTGTCACTTTATGTGACACTTCTCAGAGAGCTGAGGAAGCAGTTATCCCAGTCTCACTTTAAAATGACAATAGGTAGGTGCTCTGCAATTCATTTGGGTTAAATGAAGTAGTTGGATGCTTGGGGATTTTATTTTTTTAAATCGAAGTTCTTCTTTACACAGCTATCTTCAATCTTGATGGGGCTGTCCTAAGCCCACTTTTTGTGGCATCCAGTTCGTTATACTCTTCTATTAGGTCAGACAAGGACGATATGGCTTCAGAGAAACAGCCTTGCTCCATCCCATCTACTTGCAGATAATGGTGAAGATGAGCCTATGAGAATAATGAATTCAGTGTTATTCCCTTTATTGGCATATAATGTAATCAATTTGCCTAAGTATTATTTGGCCTGCACAGAAGAACTGTATACAAAGTAGATTTGAAGACATGCCTTGATAACCCTTGCTTACATAATTAACAACTTCAGTAACAATCTGTGGAATCGCAGTTGGTATTAAGGATTTCTTACATATTAATCTTTCCATATTCTGTCTTTTGGTACAAAAAGAAACAACCTCAACAAACTGGTAGGCACATCCATTGGATACTGGCTCACAGCTGAAGAAGTAAATATATTGCCCAGTAGGGTATGGGTTAATAAGGGATTCATTCCTTTTAAGCAGCAGCTGTTAGAATGATTCCTTGATAGATATCACAGTTAAAAATCTTGGAATATTACTTTTAAGCAGTCCTTCTATGATGCTAAGATTTGTTTCCCTGTAATCCAAGATGCTATGATTTATGGCTGTGGATGACGTACTTATGACAGAGCCATACCTTTTTCTTGTAGAGCTTCATGAATCTATCTTTGAGTTCCATAAAAGTTGGTTTCACACAGGTGTTGTTTGCTAAAGCTAGAAGAGAATGGGAATGGCCCACAGGAGGTACTGAACACAAACTAGTTTTCCAGCCCTCCTGATTCCATGAGACAAAGTGCAGAGAAGGCTTCAACCTGTGATACAAAAGTGTATAGTTACTTATGGAATATAAAGAGCACAAAGCCAAAGTTTCCTCTGCTAACAAACAGTTAACAAAGGTTAATTTTGAAGCTTTCACAACTAAGCAAAACCAGTCAGACTTAGCATTTTGAATAAGGCATTTTAGATCCCAGACTGAAATAGCACGTATTTAAAATTTACAAGGTAAACACCAATTTTGTTAATTTAATATATCAGGGTTTGAAAAGTAGTTACAAGCACACGTCTATAGAAGCAACTGCAAACACTCAGATTTATGAGAGGGGTAAATTAATACTGTGTGGAGATGAGTCTACCTGATATAGGTAAAATTATTTTGATGCTCAGAACTTTTCCTTATGCACCCATCTGCCTGTAAACTCCATTCCGCACTCTGTTCCACTGTTCATGTTGCAACTACATAGATCACAATAGTGTAAAAGGTAGAAACTGAGTGTGAACAACAGCAGAGAAGCAGAGAACCTATTCCTTCAAAATTCCATAGCAGCAAGAGACCAGCCTTCATCCTTTTAAATTATTAAGAATGGGGGGAGGCAAACAGGCACATCTAGTCAGCTCCCTTTATTTGGAAATCAAAGAATGCCATGACTTAGTCTAACTTGTTAAGAAAGCTATTTACATTTTCTTTCTTTCTTCAATTACAAAAGACCAACGAACCAGATGAAAAAAAAAAAACAACAACATGGATTTGGTACTGAAATTCCTTAGATGAAAAACTGAGAACTCCCTGGACAACCGAAAAATATTCATATGAAAAAATAACACGATTACTTTGTGTGCTATTACAAACCTTTCAATGTTTCTGCGAAGGTCTGAGACCTGCACGTTTCCTCGAACAAGAAGTGCACAAGCAAGATAGAGGCTATGCTTTGGGTCTGCTTGAATTAATTGATGATCTCTACTAAAAGCATCTGAAAACATTTGATCCAACCTAAGTGAAGATAAAAACAGTTATCTACTCTATTAAAGCAGGCTACAGAAGTTCAAAATACACACCCTTCAGGGTTTCAAATTTCCTGAAATCTTGGAACTAAAGGTACATTTAATTTTGGACCATTTGAACAGCAAAAGGATTCAAAACAATCAAAATAACTTAATGGTGTGGGTTCTATTTAATATCCAGAAATACGTTGCTCCCAGCAGAATTGTTTCCCATCAGACATAGTAAAAACACATTTTAAGTCTGCTGGCTCAACCACCAACAAGAACAGGGACAAAAGGTGTTCTCCAAACGAGTAAGATGACTTTTCAAGTGTGGCAGGCTTTAAAACCCTTTAGGACTTCTACTCTTAGTTTTGCTATAGATTTTTTTTCTTTTTTTTTTTTTCTTTTTTTAAAAAGGCAACTATGGAAGAATCAGAAATTAAGCTTCAGCTGTAAAGTCTCCACAACAAATTTTTCTTCTTACCTTCTAGAGGGTATATTAACATCAGCCAGCGTATACAGAGGGGTCAAGCTTGAAACTAAGTAATGAAGTCGAGGAAACGGAACCAAATTCATACTGATTTCATTCAGATCCATGTTAAGGGAACCTTCGAACCTAGCAGAGCTGAAAAGTTAACATACATTACAAAATAGTTATAAACTAAGAAAGTTACTTTTATAATGTAAACATTCATTAAGTATACATTTCAGCCGTTCCCTGCAATAAAACAGTACAACAATATCTATAGATAAAACAATTATCTATAATTACTAAACTTCCACATTTGGCAGTAACACTGCTATTCTTACTTCTTTACACTTTTCATTGTAGAACAATTAATCATCAAAAATGAGTCCTTAATGTTCCTGATTGTAGTTCTTAGCACTCTTCTTTAACGTGCAGACATAACTGCTTGATACCAGTTTAAATAATGAAACACGTATGACTTAGCAGCCCTGACAAGCTGTTCAGATCACTGCTTTGGAAATGCTTTTTCAGCAAGAATTCCTTACAGCGACAGACAGTTTAGGAACAACAACTGTCAAATGGTTATTTATAAAATAATAATATTGATTCTAACTTCCTTGGGCACTATTAGGCACTAATGGAAGACAATATCCTTCTGCCCAAAAAGCTTTCCCTACTTCAGTTCTAAGACTATCACAGCTACAGCAACACCACTGCAATATGAATAGTTTCAAACACTGCAGATTTTCATTACTTTAGGAACTAATTCTTAAAAAGACTAATATCAAATTGAAAACAATACTGAGTTGATGCAGGCACATATATTTGCAGCACACACTGCCTCTAGCAATATTACTCTTCTGTACAAGTAATCTGTGACTTTACCTTGTCAGGTTCAGCAGCAAGTTGGCTACAATATTGTTCATTGCATCAAATGGCTTCTCCTGCACAGTTTTTGTAATGCCTGCACTTGATGTTACCAAGCTGTTTGGCTTCACAGTTGACCCCAGCTTCCCAGAATTGACCATCTGATGAATTTTATTAACTATATCAAACAGAGACTTTGAAAGGAAAAAGAAACACACACACACAAAAATAACAGAAAGCATACAAGTCTCATTCCCAGAACATTCAAATTCCATGTCCCCATTTTTCCACTTCAGTTAATCTTAAAGAAAAAAACTAAGATATGGTAATGACAGTTCAAACATTACAACTTTGATTCAAATACGTTCAATTTTTGACCAGTTCCAACAGGCTGAAGTGTTCCTGAATATCCGTTCCTTCCTTGTCACAAATGTAGATAGTTTGACTCAGAAATTTAATTTCAATTTGAAGTCAGTTCAAATTTGAAGTCATTAGTCATTCCCCTTGTAGCACTTAAATAATACTATACAGAAATTGATGCTAAAAGACTTGAGGCTCAGCCTCAGTAAACAGGAGCATCTCACTTTTCACCTTTGAATAAGACACAAAAAGAAAAATCACTCCAGACTACTTTGCACATGGAAACGAAGTATAGAGCCTCTTTTAAGCGATTTCACTTCAAAAGTCTGCAAGTTACCAAGGAGCTCAATTATGAAAAAAAAAAAAAA